ACCCCCTCCCCGGGAAAAGTAGAAGAATATGGGAGCTCCTCAGCAGAGCAGACTCCCAAGTCTCAGGATTGGCTCTGTAGTCCTCCAGCCCTGCTGGAGCACTGCTGTTTCTCAACTGGAGTGGGAAACCAAAGTGCCGTGACTGTTGGTTCCCTATCTGCGGTGCATTTATGCAACTTGATTACTCTTCCTTGGCTATTCCTAACCCCAGCTTTGCCTGTATTTTGTGCTTTCTGGGTCCACCAGCATGCTGTGTGTAGATGAACCAAAGGGAAAATAACTGGATAAGCCTCACCTGCTGAAAAATAATTGCTGAATGACATGCTTTCCAATGGGACAGGACTTGCACAGCTGTCGTTAATTTTAATAGACAACCCGAGTGCCTGCATTTGTCTGGAAAGTGAAGTGTGGTGTGTTTAGTTACACAGTCCCTTCTACCACTCTACAAGCTACCATTTCTGTCTCCTCCAAAGTTTTATGCTACTCACATCTCCAATTGGCTTGCCCCGCATCACCCTCATGAAGGGCTATCTCCATTCGTTCGGAAGGCTCTGCAGCATTTCAAATCCTGTTTAAAATGTATGTAAGCCATGGCACAGGAACATTCCCAGCTTGAGGCTGCAGTTTGCTGTCGGCTGCTGGGCTGTGCTCTGTGGCTTGTGGCAGGCAAAAGCAAGATATATGGATAGAGTATGGGTAGCTGCAACAGCAAGGGCCTGGATTTTCTGAGAGGCTGCTTTTGAGATACCTATTTTGGTACCTATTTTGAGAGTTGAAATGGAGTTTAAAGGTGAATATTGGCCTTTATTGGCTTTCTGCAGAAAGGCAGGTTTCAGTAATTTGGTACCATACTGTACCAAAAATATTGTGAGGAAAAGAAATTCCAGCTGCAGTGGGGAGACACAGGGGATGGGATTAGATATTCCTTGTAGGTCTCCAAAAAAGATCTGATTCTTGTGTGGTTATTGACAACTCTCTGACCAAAATAAGCCACATCTTTCTGTGCTGTTTACCTGAATGAAGCTGCAGCTGTTTGTTCATGTGTACTCTCTGCACCCGTGCACTGTTGTTGAGAAATATGGAGTGTGTGTGTGTGTGTGTGTGTGTGTGTGTGTGTGTGCGCGTGTGTGTGCGCGCGTGTGTGTGTGCGTGTGTGTGTATAGTAATTTGAGTACTCATGTCTGTTGAGAAAATATATTTGAATTGGGTCTAACTGGGAACAATGACTCCGCTGGACAAAAATAACTCGTCTAATGATGATCAGAAGAAAGGCACTGACAGACTTTTTTTTCTCATGAGTTTTGGAAAAGAATGCCGTCACGCGATTGAGGAAGCGTGTGTGAAACAGAATAGAAAACAAAGTTTCATGGCAGTAGGTCTGGGACACTGAGTGGTCAGTTTATTTAGGAGAAAGGAATTTTTCTCCCTCCTACGCAGCACTGCATTGTCTGTGGCATCCTGAATTTGCCTCCTAAGAAGTAGGCATTGTCTGCTGCCTCAGACAAGATACTAGACTTTGTGGTTGCTAAATGTGACCTGCCCAGCAGATCTGCAGCGTGTTGAAGGGAGAAGCCTGGCAACCATCCGCCTGGAAATTCCTGCCCTAGCATGTGGCCAGATTTACAGCACCAGAGTGTGAGGAAAGCATATCAAACCAGGAACCTCACATAAATATTGTGTTAATGAGTGAATGGCAGCTTTTTGTAAAGAGCAGCTCTCTTTGCAGAGCAGCCCCAAATAGATTTTGAATAAGAGCTGCTCTTCTTCCATCAAATACAGAGGAATGGACAGCTCTGCTATCAGCTGGGTTTGCGGGCCCATGCCACTGAGCTGTCCTGGTGAATCCTGGTCATCCCCTTTGGCCCTTCCACGACTATTTGTAGCCCACTACCTGCCAAGCTGGATTTTTCACCATCTGGGCTAAACAACCTTTTTCTTTTTTTTTTTTGGCTTGCTGCTGTTGTTCATGGCTCTGTCACTTTGAATGACAAACTCAGACACAAGCGCTACCAAAAGCAGAGCCCCATGTGGAGGTGATAGCGCACATCTGGAATCAGTCCAAACTGATTAAGTCTTCCTTCACTCTCCACCTTCATATACTTAAGCAGGAACCAGGAAGTATCTTCAAGGGATTTTTCTTTTCTAATTCCTGCTTATTTTTTTCATAAAAGGCTGACAATCTGTAAACATCCTCAAAGCATAAGGTGTGTTCCAAGCATTTTGCTTTCTCAGATTTCATGTCTGTTTACATTATGATAAGGCTAAACAAATGAAGAGCAATAATAGCATCTCTCTGCGTTGTTTCCTGGCTTGCATTTCCAGTCTGGTCCAGCACAGTTGAACCTGGAAAGGGATTCCCACTGTTGTCAAAGGGCTCTAGATGAACATGTTCAGGGCCAGTCCTGCATTTCTTTTTATTTGTTTTCCGTGCCCAAACCTCCCATCAGGTTCACTGGGTGTTGACACTTTTTGCCAATGGCAGCATCAGTTCCCCGGCAGGGAACTTTTCATGTTGAGGATAGAGGAGATTTATTCCTTGTTTCCCAGTGCTATATGTAATCCTTTTGCTGCAACATAAGGACTAAAGAGTGCAAGGTCCTGCCATTTTGATTTCATAGCACTTCACATTGGCTTTGTACTTTCATTTCTGCAGAGGACTGTATAGGATGCAGGGCACTAAGGAAGAGGATTGCTAGGCCCTTAGGAAATGTGCTTGTCCTGATCACTGAGTCTTACTAGTTCTTGGGCATGAACAAATTATTCCAAAGAAAATTAACCGAATCCTCCTTCAAAACTCGAACCATACCTTTATTTTCTTTCTTTCTCCTTCTCTTTCACTTTTTCTTTGACGTTCCCTTCTTTGCTTCCTTTCTTTCCCTTCCTTCCTTCCTCCTCCTTCTCCTTCTCCCTCTCCTATTTTGATTTTCTCTCCTATGAGTGCCAAAATTTCTTGTAACCTTTTCTTTCAAATTTTCAGACAACTCTGGCCTAAAGTAGGAGCTGATTTACCAAAACCCCATGAGGTAGGTCTACTTTTATTGCATTTCCAGCCTACCTTTGCTACCAAGAGAGACGGATGCTCTCTGGTGCTCACAATGCGTCTAGAGTTTCAGATGCCTCCCCTGCCCCCTGTGGTACTTGCCCACCACTTGTCCAGGACAGGTATTCTGCTGTCTGTAAAGTACCTGGTCCCTTTACAAGGGGAAAATAAGTCACTGAAGAGCTGCTGTCAGCTTGGAGGGGGAAGTGGAGGGAAATGCCACTCTGTCTTTCTCTTTTATGGAGAAAAAAGTGGAAAGGCATATGATAAAATGACCACTTGAAAAGCAATTTGAGTAATGGACCAAATGACAGAACTTGCTCACATATATGATGTCAGCTAGGTGCCATGTTTTCCCCCGTCTAAGGTACACTACCTGTTTGAAGCATTTTTCTTCACAGCAATGTTAGTAGACAAGGCACTTGATTTATGAATAAGAAACTGAAAGACGGAGAGAGACAGGAGGTGTTTGCCTCGTGATAGAAAGGTGGGGCTGTTCCCGAGGAGAAAATGCTAGCTCATAGAGATGGACCTAGGCCACCTTTAAAGGAGGCAACTGGGTCCTTTATAGTACTAAAGGCTCTGCAAGTCAAATCCTGCCTCCTGGATGCTTTTCCCTGGAGGCTTTGGTGGGCCTCAACAAGTATGGCTAATTTGGAAGGCAAACACTGTGGCCATGATGTCCAAGGAGAGGATTCTAATATATTACTTTCATACTGCAGAATAAATACAGGCAAGGGCAGGAGGGAGGGGGGAGCAACAAACCCCACTGTGTTGCACTGAAGTGAGAAGAGTTGCTGGAGAACCATTTCCATGGCAGCAGTTCTGAGAGTTAGTAGTATTTTTACATGACAATTTTTTAGACTAGAATTGCAATTCCAAAAAAAAAAAAAAGTAATAATAGTCCCTGGGGGTAGAGATGAATTTCATTTTTGTTGTTTCTTTTTCTTTTTTTTTTTCTTTTGGGAAAGTATCTAATGAAAAACATATGTGACAGTTCTACACAGCAGTAGTGCATAATGCAACAAAACTTCTTGGAAAACATTTTTATTCTTGTTTTAGAAGTTGATTCAGGCCTGTAAACAGAAGCATTCTTCACTGCATTAACAGTTTATTCCATTTTTAATCAGCCACATGATGCTATCCAAATGTCATTTCACCTATAATCGTCTTTTGTGCAGAAGCCCAAATATTTGTATTGCTAGTAAGAACTCATTAAGGTGGCATTCTCAGATTTTTTTTTTTGTTCTTTTTTTCCTGAATGCTGCCAAATAACCAAGCTATAATATATTCAGAGATTTGAAAGGCTGCAGTCTGAGTACTCTCCGTAACTATAAAATAGCTATTCTGGGAACTGACTAACTATCCAGTTAGTACACTTGCTTTTTTCCAGTAACAGCTGGTCCAGCCTGGTTCAAAGGCAGTATACCTGGTGATGTGTAATATCATAGCCTATATGGAGGTTCCTGTCTGAGGACAACTGTTATCAGATTATACCTTGAAGCGAGTACATTAAAATCCTTGAAGGTCTGTTCTGTAGAAGATGTTGCTGTAAATGCTGCTTTTCTTAAATTCTGAACTTCTATTTAAGCAAAAAGTTAGTAATCTTTTCACCTCACTAATCGAGATATTGTGGCACTACATAAGGTAAAGGCAAGTTTTGCTGGATTCTAAAAGGTCTGGCTTAGAAAAGCTGAAGGAAAAGTCAGGAAGAACATGTACCCTCTATGGTAAGCTGGAATCGTGTGCATAAGCAAATATTCTGATACCGTGGACGTTTTGGGTCTGATATATATGCACAGTCTGTAGATCAAAGGATCCCTACGTGTTTTATTAGCCTGATCTATCAAATAATATTGTGCAAGTTCCAAAGTACCAGTATTTGGTGAAACATTCACTCACCCACCTGTGATACCGGGCAATTTCAGGAATCATAGTTGCTCTCTAACAGCATATAACACTAAGCTTAGATCTGTGGCAAGAGGAAAGGAAGCTCTTACTGCTGTGAAATGGCAGGACAAAGTCTCACAGCTGATGCCCTCGCCTTAGCTTTCTGTGCATGTACCTTGATCTTGGAGAAGGATCCTGAGTGCCAGGCGAGCGGCAAGGCCTCGGTCCTGTGTGGCTGTTGGGATTGCCCAGAGCTGACAGGGAGGATCCAGAAAAAGCACAGGCTCAGCTAGAGGAGCCCTTGTGTCTGAGCAGCCATTGCTGAAGCTAGGAGCACCAGAGACACCGTCGGAGGCGTCCCAGGCAGATGCAGTGTGACCTCTGGATGTGCATGGACAGGCCTGGGCAAGGGGTGACGGCAGGGGAGGAGTCCAGGCGCTTGGAGGACGACTCGTCCCTCGTCACTCTGCCTCTGCCTAGCATGGCACAGCCGGCTTTGCGGGCAGCAGCGGATATGTCAGCGCTTCTGGCAGGTTCCTGCGAGTGGCGGGTACGCTCCGACAGCTGCAGCAGAGCAAGTGCGTGCAGCGCGAACTGCTGCTTGGGCTGGCAAGTGGTACCACGTGGAGTTGGTCCAGAAGTGTCACTGCTGGGTTAACTACTATTGACTGTATCAACGCACAGGGTGGTGCAGCAAGCGAATATACACTTACCACAGCAGGTGACTGGAAGATGAGGAAGGGCAGCAGGCTCGTTAGAGGACGGGGCGGCTGGATCTCAGGAAGGTAGAGAAATGTATGAAACTAATAGAGGAAGAGAAGGAAACACCCATCCCGTATGCCATGAAATCTCCCTGGCTCTTCGTTCTTAAGGCTTAAGGGCATTGCCATGCTTTTTTGGCATCTGAACTGGGAGAGGTTCAAAAGATGTTCTCCTTTGTTCAGCAGCAATATTGAAAATCAGCCAGAATCACTTGTTTTCTGTGGGAGTGACTGAGCAGAATCATGGTTTTTCATACAGAAAAAGGAGTTAAGCTGTTAGAGCTAGGATGGGCTTTTTTTCTAAGTGTGGTTGATTTTTGGTCGGTTGGTTGTTTTTTTCCTCCATACCAAGCTTTTTCAGGTCTGTATCATTTTTTGTTAGAACATGTTACTGTTTTTCTCTCTCATCAACCCAAACCATTGACCTAATACACCTTGTCAGATTTAATCCTACATTATTGGACACAGGAAAATTTGTGTCAGTTTAAGAAGATAAACTTTGTGCTTACCAGCAAAACAGAGACTTCAAATATTAGGGGTTAGATTGTGAATTTGCAAATGAGTGCTGATTCAAGTTATCCAGTGTTTGACAAGCTAGTCAGCACCCCACAATGTCACATTGAGACCCACAATATATTTAAAGCAGCCTTGCCAACTAAGAGCATACGTATGTTCACAGGACTAGCCAAAATACAAGATGAAAACTTTCCTGTGATTTAGCTAAGATTCATGAAGAAAGAAAATCCGGTCTGCTTTTCTTCCTGATTTCAGTATGTTATGTGTCAATTTAAAACTTTTCCACTACTGCAGATAACAAAATAGAATCAAAAAGTGAACATGGCTAGAGGTAAGTGTTGAAGATAAAGACTCTTAATTATTTTGACCCTGCAAAGAGAAAATCCAAGCACACAAATCAACACTACTAACAAAAAAATAAATCAGGTCCTTAACATTCTCACAGCTATAATTGAGCCATGGCATTTTGATAATACCGCTAAGAATGCTAGTGCAAATTATCTAATCATTGGAGGAAGAAAATCCCTGGCCTAGGCTTTCTACCGAATCTCTTCTTGCCATTGCTGAACGATTGCTCTGAAAAAAAGATGGCCTTACACCGACAGAGGCTTTGTGGAAGTCTGTGGGAGTTTGCTTTCACTGTGGTCTGCAGGAAACAGTTGGTGAAGGACTACGTCTGATGATAAGTGCTCTTGGGCAAAGGGCCAAGTCCAAGTAGGAGCGTAGGCACCTAAACTCTTACTCATCTCAGTGGAAGGCTGGGGCTTAGATATCTTGAGGGGTCTGGTTCTGTGTCTTCCTTTCTCTTTTAGGATAAACATACCATGCTGGATGTTGTCACCATGCTAGATGGCCTGGAGTGTCGTGGCACAGTGGCCGTGCCTGCCCCACAGCTGGCTTATTGCAACCCCGCAAGGCAGTGGGTCCAGGCACGAGAGAGTCCCAGCAGACCGTCTTCCTCTCCATATCCAGAACTTTGGGCTGGATCTGTTATCTGTTATCTGTCAGATAACACAGAGTTATGAAATTCACTGGCAAAGTAGGTACTCAAATGTTCTTCTTAGGGTAAATCTACATAGAAGGTAAGAGTTTTCTACCATGAATAGTTTCTGTTAGCTCAAGTGGTGGGAGGCTGATGGGAAACTGATGTTCCAACTATGTATGACAACCCTTGTGAGGACTGTGGCGATATTTTGATGTAGCTTTTGTTTATTTTTCTTACCTCTTTTAAGACTTCAGAAACCTTATGGAACTTAATTCACAGAACACTGTTAATGTTGCAAAGTCATCCAGAACCGAGGAGATTAAGGCTGTCCTTGCAGCCTTATTCAGCTCCCTTTTACAGCATGATCTTTAATGTCACAGCTTTATATTATTTTCTTTTGAAATGCTTGTATGTTTTATTCAGTGCACAATGTAAGAAGAATATAGAGAAATCAAGAAATAGTAGAGAAATGATGATGTCAAGGTGACAAACTGTAGAGCTACATCCACCTCTGAACTCTGCTCATTAAACTATCTCCTCTGGGACTTCTTACTTTCCCCTAAGAAGCTTCAAAGTATTGCTGTTTTCTTTATATCAGGCTTCTTCATCTCTTCCTCTCTTCCTCTGAATAGTGGGGCTTCTGTTAATGGAAGTATTACTACATGGTGAATAAAGAGTGCATATGTGGCTAAAAGCCAGGGTTATGGCAAGATGTCAGACCTTCAATCGTAACAATTAGGTGTCAGGAAAAAAAGGCAAAACAAAGTTTTTAAATTTTTGAAGTGCATATAGTGTTTTATTTACACTTTTCCTCTTCTGACAAACTGTATAGGAGCAGACCTGAGATACTGACACAAGCCTGGAGTAGCTAAAGAGACAGGTCTGCTGCAAGCACAGACAAAGTAAGTATGGCTGAGGTTGGAGTGGTTACTGCTGCAGTTGGGGTTGGGCCCTGCTTTGGCAGGCGCAGGAAGCCCCCTGCGCTGGGACAGGGTCGCGACAGAAGCAGAGTCCGGCTCCCGTGCTTCTGCCTCCCCCTCTTCTGTCCCAGCACCTGCCCCTTCTTTCCGGGCAGCAAATGTAATTTTGCCTAAGCTACTGAGTTACCTTAGTTACCCTCTTCTGTAAGGGAGGATGGGGTTACTGTCGAAGAAATACAAGAAAGAGATTCTTGTAAAAGTCTTCATTTAGTTAAAGATATTTAGGACTTTCTCCTCTAAAATGCAGAACTTGAAGTTCTAAGAATGATCTACGCATCCAACTGAGGCTTTACCACTCCTGAGTAATGCAGAACATGTCAGCTTCAAGCCATCGCACCAGCCTCACATAAAAAGTCTTTCCCTCAGACACATGCATGAAACTTTATGGTCTGTACAGAGACAAATGATGGCAGGAGATAATATGTATCTAACAACTTTTGAAGGATATGAACAGAAACAGCAAAACAGTTTTCTGTGTTTTCTGGTCAAATTTGCTCTTGGAATAAATATTAAAAGATGGGTGACCCCAGCAACTTCAAGCTTGACTTGAGTTGTGAACTACACCAGGACTTGATGGTCAAGTCAGGATCACCTGGTCTTCAAGTTTGCAACAGGCTTCTGAAGCTGCAAGTGTTCATATTGGAGAGAGTTTCAGTACTGGAGCGGCTTTAATACAGGATCTCTGATACACTGTAGCTTTGAGTCAATGTTGCTTAACTCTTACTGCTAATGAGTTTTAAGCGGCTTAGTTATCTTAACCTGCTCTAAAGGCTTAGACTGATTTAAGCAGTTTACTTAGCTTATAGTTAAACCAGTCATGGTTCATAGGGTTGAAAGGGTCTGATTAAAGCAGTGTAGGGTCAAGAAATATCAAGACATACAGTTCAGCTCTGATCAATGTGCAATATTTTGAAAGCCAGGTACTTACCATGTTTTTTCCTGATTTCTCTTTTAAATGCAAAACTATCACAAGCAAAAATAGTGGGTTTGCAGCTTCAAGGTTCAGGACAGATATAAATTTCCTAACAATAAGTATGTTCCCAAATGTTAAGTCTGGAACCGAAAGTTGATCTGAAAATCTGAAAACGATATTTCAGTGCTCTTTGTCATTGATTATTTGGTTTTGATTTTTCACTGATCTCTTAAGAATTTTTCCCTAGGAACAGATCATTTAAATAATGCCTAGCTCTTATGTAGTGCTTCTCATCTGCTCATGTAAGTAGCTGTTTTTCTAGTGTGTGCTCCAATTTGAAGAAAGGCAGTTGACAATCCCATATTTTGGATGTTTGCTACAGCTGCTTGGTATTCAACCTGATATTAGAAAGGGAGACCAAAGCCTATCCTTCCTCCCCGGGGAGGGAACACATTGTTCCCATGCAATGGGACTGGCCCAGGAACTGAAGCTGGAAGATGCAGCAGACTCACAATCTGCCTGCAAGTGTTAGTGTAAAAGGCAAAGGTAGGTGACCATTATTAGCAGCAGAAAAGCAGTTCAGGGCACATAAAAGAGAAAGGACAGCAAAAACTTGGGCTGGACAGGGAGCACAGAGGGCCCAGAAATTGGTAACGCTGGGCACAAGCCCTTTGGCCATGCGAGGGAACATGTTATCTTTGCTAACGATCATCTGCAGATCCTAGCTCTTTCCAGAGCCAGTTAATTATAATTACATTCTGCATTAGCACTGTTTTGCTGAAAGGCTGTCTGGAGACCAACTTATTAAGAAGGGCTGCAGCATTGCTTTTCTTTCCTAGTGTCTCTAGGATTTTGTAAGGATTTAATAGCCGAGTGATTGGCCTTGTTTTACTACCACAACACCTCAGTCCCGCTGAGAGTTTGTTTGCTCATTGCCTGTGAGCTCCTCTAAGGAGGGATCGCTCTGCCATTGATTCAGTTGGAAATGTAAGAATGGACCTTGATGAGTGAATATTTGTGTCTCAGAGATGCTTGACATGCTTGGCACTCTGCTGGAAATAGTTCAGCATCAGTAGTAATAACTCTCTAATAAAGATCTTTACAAACACAGAAGAGAAAAAAAGGAAGAGGGGTAAAACGTTCCAGTTGTCTATTCACCTTGGAGCAGTTTCAGGAAAATCCTTTGTCAGGGACAGCTTGGGGTTAAAAAATTACTTTTGCTGTTGCCACAAGGTCTGCTCGGTGAAAAGAAAGGATGTATTCACTCTTGCGTTTTGGCTGAAGAGTTAATGTTTATTTATGTTTCTAATTTTTAGATAATGTCACAGACATACTTAAGAGGATAAGAGATAGGACTGAAAGCAAAGAATAAGAAAATGTCAGTTGTGTCTCTTGGGCCTTTAAATTAGTTGCTAGAGCATACTGGCACCAACACGTCAGTTCTAGGCCAATGTGTATTGTCCTTTGGGCTCTGTCTCACTTCTGTCGTTTGAGCATGAGATTTGGAGCATTCCTCTGCACCTCTTTCACCAGCCATTCCAAGCCCTTCAGCACCATCATGTAAAATCACAACTTTACATTATAAATACCTTCACCAACTGTCTTGTGAGGAAAGAAATTTTGCTGTACCCATGTGACTCATGGGAAACTGAGTGACGAGGATATTAAGTGCTTTCTCCAAGGATCCATAGAAAATCTGAGCAAATCAGGGAGTTGAACCTGCATCTCCCGAATTGCAGCATTTCTCTAAGTCCAGTGGACTTTAGCAGAGGATGCCTGCACTCTTCTAGAAAGTTTTTCAACAATCTTTCCTAAAATCTCTAGAATAGAAATGCTCTTTGTGTAAGATCAGAATTTGGAGAAATTTATTCACTCTTTAAATCTTAAATGATAATTGTTGCCTTTAGAGAACAACATTTTTCATTATCAAAAGCTCTGGATTGTATATCCAAGTTTACCTGACATAAGGGTGTATTATTCCGTTCTGAAAGAGGTTATGGGCGCAATTGTACAGCACCAGCAATTTTGTAAGAAATCGTAGAAGAGGTTATAGAAAGGACAGGGAGGAGACTGTGTATTTGTAGCCTAGATCAATCTTTTCTAAAGAGCTAGTGGGTGAGAGGTACCAGAAATTAAAACTAGCTGTCCAGTTCTGCTGTTTCCTCATTGTCCCAGCGAGATCTCTAATTATGGAAAGTCATGGAGGAACCAAAACAAAACCACACGAAAGACAGAATCTGGAATTGCAGAACAAAAATGGAAAGTGCACTGGGAATCCAGAGAAAACCATCTGTGCAACTAATGTGAAAGAAGGAAGCCTAAAGCTCAGAAAGGTTTTTCTGCTCTGTTCTTTAAGACAAGAGGAATTTAGAATTACTCTCCATCACAAAGTAAAGGAGTAAGACATGAAAAACACGTCAGAGCCAGAATCTTTACTTGCTCTGTGATGTCAGCCTGTCTGTGAAGTCAGTAATGAGGTCAGCACAGCACCTAGGTGACAGGTGAGACCTGGCCGTCTTTCCCAGAAGAGCCTGGAGCAAGTGGGAGAAGAAACATTGGTTGTGCAGTCTGCTGCCAGCCAAGAGGGGCCTAAGAAGCAGTGCAGGAAGCAAAAAAAGAGGGGAAATCAAAACTGCCCCTGAGAACAGGGGGAGCCCTGGAGATGTGAGGATTTATCTCGGTGCTGGAATAAGGTCTTGCGACCTTCTTCCTGGGCTGAAAGTGTGGGTCCTGGAATGATTCACCAAAGCAAAGAAAATGATCTCATTTCCAGCTGGGCTCTGAAGAGACAAAAGTCAGAGAATAAGTAGACTTACTCTTAATTTGTCCAGTGAGGTTGGGGAACAGATTTGAAAGATGACTGAGGATATTTTCTTAAGGATTTAAAAGGTTACATATCTGCTCTGCCTGTTCCAATTTAATGAATGAATGGACCTTAAAAACGCTTGTTAAGTTGCAGATGGATAAATATGGAAAATTCCTTGGTCGGGAAGGTTTATGATCTCCATGTCTGCATCTGAATCTAGATGATCTCTCTTGTTAAACCTCCCCTTCTCATTTGCAAAGGCTGGATGATACCTCTCTCCTCCTGAAACTAAAATAAGGAAGAGCATCTTCCGCAGTGAAGTGAGCGCTCACAGTTGCTGGCCTCGTGGTCATTTTGAGTTTGATGAGAGATGAAACTCAGTTGAGAAAGACCAGCTGTGATTTCTATGAAATAAAACCCCTTTAACAAGGATACATATTAATTCTCATCATGTCAGTTGGATTCCTTTACCCTTCTCCCTACAGACACAAACATTGGACAGGCCTTCTCTCTGAACTTCATGGCTAAATTTTGACAGAAGACACATCCTCTATTATTTGCAGATAGATATCATCAGATTAGCAGGGAGGTATGCACAAAAGCATTCGTGCTATCTAACAGAAGAATAAATGCCAGGGGCTAGTCCCACAGTGAACTGTGAAGGATCCACACCACAAATCATGTCAGAAAAAAACAAAAGCTAGTGTGTACCTCCTCCTCAGTTTAATGCTCTCAGCTGAGGAGAAACAAAGCAGAAGAGAATTCACGAATAAAATCCAATCAGCCATGTGCTGTTAAATGGTTTCACCTGCTCCTAGGACCACAGCTTGACACAGCTGTGAGACACAGCTGCCACCAGTGTCCTCATTTGCAATGGACTAATTGAAAAAAGAACTGCAGCTGAAGGGTAGGCACTACTGATAGAAGCTGTGTTGACTAAATATGCAAATGAAACTATAGTGGACTATGAATTTTCTTAAGGAATTCTACTCTGTGGAAAATTTTAAATTACATTGATTGGCCATTTATATTGAGTGACTCTGAAAAAACTCACATCCTTTAGGTCTTAGGCAGGCCAGCCAGAAAGAGTTGAGGCCTTTGATTTCTGTGACTCAATCCTCTATGTGTAAAACAGGGTTAATACCCCTTCCCTGACTTCTTTCAGAGTGATTCTGAAAATACATCTGTTAAAGCCTGTAATAC